ATAAGATTTTAAATTAGTATTTTATTAATGGTTGATAATTAGAAAATAAAACAAGAATAAATACATTTTTTGAATTTTATATCTTAGATTTAAGATGAATAAATATATTAAGTTAATTAATAATTTATTTAAAATGTTAAAATTTAATTTATAAAAATAATATTTTAAAAGAGAATGGTTATAATAACACCGGTGCAACTTTTACTAAGTATTACACCGCTCAATAACTTTATATTAAATGTGAATTTTATAAATTCAACCGTTAGATTGAAAGTTTTTTACTCTTAGATCATATATACAAAATTTTATATTAATTCAAGATGAATTAATACTTCATTCTTGTAAAACAAATTTGACGTAATATATATATTTCAAAATATACTAAAATATGAATACTTTGATTAACTTCAAGTTGTTGTTCAATTTTAACAAAATTTAATATAAACATATAAAGTGATATGAGCTTTCAATCTAACGGTTGAATTTACAAAATTCACATTTAATATAAAGTTATTAAGTGGTGTTATACTTAGTAAAATTTACACCAGTATTATTATAACCCTTCTCATTTTAAAATATATAAATTATTATTTAAACTTTTAAATTTATAATAAATAATTTAAATTGTATCATAATATTAATTTTAATAGAAATAAGTAGATTTTTAATTATAAAAGTAAGTGTATATATAAATAAAGATTAATTAAATATAATATAATTATTATTATTGGTAATATAATTATTATATATATTATTATATTTTTATAACGGTCTGGGCACACTGAAATGAGAGGGATCCAAAGATAGTATAAGTATGAGATTGTATATTTGAGAATGATTTAAATGAATTAATTTATACTGCCTATACTAACAACATGCATCTTCCGGTAGCTTATTTAATCAAAACTTCATAGTTAAACGTGTTTGACTTAGAGTAATATAGGGATGAAGGTGACCTTCTAGGAAGTTTCCCAGAAATTGTACAAGTAAGGACAAAACACGCTGAAAAGTGAAATGTCGTGAAATAGAATCCTTAAGAGGCTAAATATGAAGGCTCTTACATTAATAAATTTATTAAAATTAAACAAAAATTTTTTGACAGATTTTTTTCCGACAGATTTACATCCGTTGGAAATCCATCAAAAATAGAGAATTTTTAACAGATATTCCTTTTTATCGATGAATTTTGTCTATCGAAAATTTACGTTTTTCTTGTAGTGAATAAAAAATGTTATTCTATATATACTGACATTTTTCAAAAACAATATTGCAAAATAACTTATTTATTCTATATATAGTAACATTTTAACAAATGTAAGAAAGAAAATGTTATTAAAAAATTAAAATGTAGTAGTGTGTATTGAGGATGAATTTTTATGGTACTTTCTGCAAATAGAATAATGCGGTTGATTGACTATTGGGAAGTTATTTTTAAAACTAATTACGTAAATGAAACTATTTTGAAACTATTTACACCTTTGAGATAGTTTACTGTAAAGTCGCTATGCGACATAGCGACTCTAGTGATACACGTTAATTTTTTTAAAGAAGACATGAGAGACATACAATAAAAGTTGCTAAAGTCAATAGCCGCTCAGGTAAAGTCGTTATCAGTTGTAGTGACACACAACGACTTATTTTTATTTTTTATGAAGTCAATACAAGTTATAACGCTTAAAATAATTAATTTTGTAAAATATTATAGATCATATTTTTTTTATAATTAAAAGAGTCTTTATGGATCATATCGACACCATTTAATTATTTTTTTAAAAAAATTAGTTTTATTTAATTTTTTAACATATAATAATTAAAAAAAATTAAGTTTTTTTAATATATTTTTTAATACTAACATAGTTTGTTAAAAAATAAACAAAAAATAAATTCATTTTTTTAATTTAATTTTTTAATATAAAATATATAAGTAATATAGATATATATATATATATATATAT